GTCCAGAAAGTTTTAACTTCTCATCCTTCAGGTAGTCTATAACTCTCATAAATATAGCTGATCAGGTACACTATATTTTCGTTTATAAATTTATATCATTTTACCTATTTATTGCCTTTAGCCTCACAAATTACTTAAATCATTTTGTTTGGTTGCAGTTCTTGTAAAAACTGGACCCCACACTGCCTGTTCTGAACCCACATTTTGAACAACGATTATTCCTTTCTGTCTGTTCTCTCTTCAAAACAGAAACTTAATGATTAACTGCATGCGATGCATTTAGAAGAAATGGCAGCTTTAAAAAACATCTGTTTCACTTTCTCCAACTTTCAGTTAGTTTAATTCAGTTTCTGCTTTTTTTTTTTTTTTGTACGTTCAGGTTATAAGACTGTTTACCACTTCATGTGTCAAATTAAGAAATTATAATAAAATAGAATAAGACTTGTGGTCAAGGTTCCAAATTAGTACCTTCAAAGATCCAAATGGGTATAGTTTTTTTTTTCCCCCCCATTTTTCCAGTAAGTCTGGGAAGCCTATCAGCTACATGTCTGTAAGGGGGGAAAATTATCATGTAATAAAAAGGATCTAGTGCGTTTTGATGCCATTTACAGATGTGCCGTATTCTTTCTTGTGCTGTTCATGATAGAGATTGGCACACAGATGGTGTTGGTGAAGGTTAATGGAGCACATCTTCAGGGCTGTGGGTGTACGTCACAACCGCTGTGGTTGTGTAAACAATTTAAACACGACTGCTGTGCTGTTTTGTACACCTTGTACTTCTGCACACATATTGTAGGTGTTACCTGCGACATAACGAGAAGGCCAGTGTTGTATTCATCGACCACTTGGGCTCTCTTTGCTCCTTGTGCTTAAAAAAAAAAAAAAAAGCAGCCTGCGCTGGCACGAGTGCAGAGCCACTGCTGACTTCTTGAGGAGCAGCACACTTTTAGACAGGTTAGAACTGATCATTAGCAACAGATGTTGGGATAATTTCTCTAGGGACAAAACCATGGTGGACAGAATCTGTGTCCTGCATCTGCTAGTCGTTTGTGAATTTCTTGCTTTAGCTCCCGCATTAGTAACCTAAGCAAGTGGTTTCAACCTTTGGACCAGAAAGTTTGTGGTGCTGGGCAGGTTTATGGCACTTGCATCTTTCTGATTTTGTGTAAAAATGTGTGAAAATTGTTCCAGATTGTATACTGGGGTTGTGGTAATTGAAAAGGAGTGAAACTGGTTTGAACATGTTTATATTTTCAGTGTCAAAAGCATATGTCTGTAAATATTCTATATTTTGCCAACAAATCCAATGGAAACAATCAGTGATTTGTTTTATTAACAAGTATTGTTTGCACATTCATTCTTTACTGCTGGGTCATGAGGGGAGGGTCAAAATTATAGCCTTCAGCGATATTAAATAGGATTGAAGCTACAGACAAGCTAGAAACATCTGAAAATACAGTTGGGTTCATAAATAATCCACCACAGTGGATTTTAAGTGAAACAACAGAAATACAGAGCTAAAGCTGTAATTCAAAGGTTTTAACAGAATTTTGACACTAAGTGTTTGGTTATTAAAGCCATTTTTATGCACAGTCCCTCATTTTCACAGACTTAAAAGTAACTGGACAATTGAGTGGGATGGGGGGAAAATCAATACAGCATAGTATCGCAATATTTTGCATGGTAATATTGTATCAATACAGGGACACCAAACATCAATATTTTATTAAATAAATAAAATACTTTGGGAATAGTTTATATTTTTATCCACAATTTCATCATCTAGAATAAAATGGGGGTCTTTTTCTTTAAAAAGCTGCTTTTTTTTTTTTTTTTTTTTTTTTTTGGTAATAAAGAAAATTATTCTCTGTCACCTTAACGCATCTGTAAATGTAACCATTATATCTTTTTCCGACATTTTAGGTTTCCAAAAACGGTATGGTCAACTCTGTGTTTACACTTTATGAGCTGTCCAATGGTGATGACACAGAAGGTGAAGGTATGGCACCGTTTTAAAGTTTTCCACATGGAGAAAGCACCCATAAAACCCAGCTCGCGTTAAAGTAAACATAACATAACACAGTGGCGAGAAAGGCTTTTATTAATGCTGGCTGTACAGTAGGTTTCCAGTCCTAGTTTGTTTTAACTGTTTGATTTGTGTTGTTTACTCTGTTTCCTGTTTCTGCATGATTTCACCTAGCTGTAGTCCCAAATTGCTTCTTTCATCTCTATTTTTGCACGTAAAGCACTGTTTAATGTTAATAAATGCCATGCTAATGAAATGTGCTGCACACATTGACCCAAAATATTATGAAGATATCAGCTTAATATACTGCTTATCCTTTAAGTGCTTAAAAACATCTCTGACCTGCCAAGGCATGGACTTGAAAGAGACCCTGTGGTATCTAAACCTTTTGCCCGTGACTGGGAGCCAAAAGGTCTTGCTGTGTCAGAGATTCCTGTTCCTTAATAATTTGGCTCTTGTCAGAGTGGCTCGGATACCTGCCCATTTTTTACTTGTTTTCTTGCATAGCACACCCTAACCCTACAGGGAACCTATTATACTTACTTCCAGCTACATATGTTTAATCTTGGCCTCAACTAGACCAGATTTGCATGATTCACAGCTTGAAAATAATCCTTATTTACCAAATACCGAACCTTGATGGGGCCTTCAGTTCATGGACTGACTGAAGTATCAAGTATCATACACAGCCAAGAGGAGTGAAAAATGTGTTTGGTGCAGCCCCTGAAGCCTGAGATTTTGATTTATTTGGAACTTTGGCACAAAGATTAACGCTCACAACAAGCGGTGAATTCTGGATTCGAATTCCACTTTCTGTACAGAGTTTAAATGTTTGCCCTGTGCCTCTGTGTGTTCTTTCCAGGTATTCTGGGCTCTTCCCTTACAGTCCAAAACATGCACATTAGGTTAATTGTCACTGTGTGTGAGCCTTATTATAAACCGGTGATCCCATCCCTCCTATCTGGCATCACTGCAAAGAGTCAACACTTATCATATAAAACTATGCTGCTGGTCCTCCAAGCAGCATGCTTGAAATTGGCTCTGATCCCCTAAGGCGTGGACTCTGAAGTTGCCCTGTGGTACTCAGTCCTCTGCTGCTAATTGAGAACACCCCATAAGCCCTCCTCGTTCTTAGTGACCTAAATAATTTGGCTTCTTTGAGAGTCACTCAGATATTTAGCCTATGTTTTTCCCAGATCCAACACATTAACCAAGTGTTCCCTTGCTCTCTTAGGCAGATATTTCCAGACTTGAAATGCAGGTTTGTTATGAGATAATAGTTGTTATTCACCTCATATTTGAGTGATCGGTGTTTTGACTCATTGATTAGTTTATTTGATTTTCTTATAGCTTGTAATCCTTTTTCTCCAGAGTTCCACGGTCTGGAGGACTGGATGCTGCTTCGCTCGCTGCAGGCTTTACAGACAGAAGGCAAAGCCGAGCTCTTCACCATGGATGATGGAAAAGGCGTCAAGTTCTTCTAAAACTGTGCTGGAATCACACACCCTCTGTCTGGGAGCCCTCATACTGTACTTTACAGACAAATTTTTATTAAGATTTAGCCATTTAAGGCTACATAAGGTGCACCTCAATACCGAGTCTAGTGGATGCTGGTCCTCTAATTGTTGTTGCCTTCTCTTACTGGAAGAGAACCAATATCATTTCTAAGTGTTTGGGGGGGGGCATTTTAGATCATGCTACTTGTAAAGTCGTCATAGGTAGCATTTGTTGCCATTTAACCATGCAATGAATATCAGGGCACTAAATACTGTCATGTCTGAGTACTTTAGGGGAACATCTTTCCCTGCCCGCTTTAACTTTACTCCATCTTTATTATTGTAAATGCATCTACTTTTATTCTCATTTTTCTCTGTTAACAAATTTACTCTGTAAAAATAGCTGTGGATCTTTGCTCGGCTGTTATTCCTCTGTTCCAACCAGACATACCAAGAAATTCCAGAAAGCAACACCAGAGGGACTTTTTATTTTGAGAGTAAATGCTTCCAGAAGAGGAACACAACAGACGCTTGAGCCAGTCTTGGCTTGACTCAGCTGCGTGTAATAATAGTGGACTTCATGTACAGATTGCTGTATCCTATTATTGTGCAGTAGCTACTGTGATGCTCCTGTTATCTTTATCTCTGTCTATATTCAACTTCTTTTTCATATCCTGTAGGAAATAAATTAGACATTTGTTAAATTTTCTGGCTATTTCCTTTCTTTCACGTGCATCGACGTTTTGTTCTGTGATAAACACGAGTGAGGACTTCAAAAGCTTTGCAGAGTGCAGACTGAAACTGCAGCAATGATGATGTTTTGATCTCCTTGCTGCAGCTGTATTAAAGTACTGCATACTGACATCATGTGCTGTGTATTCCCGCCTGTGGAGGGATGATACAGCTCCAGAGAATTGTGCGTGTCTTTGTGGATAAAACCTTGTATGTTCTCTTGTGGGGCAGGTGGGGCCCAGTGTGGCCTTGGCTGATAATGGTGTACTGTTTCACGAGCAGCAGCCCCCCCCCTGTAGGCCAGGCGCGGGTGCGCATCCTCCACCTTTGGGCAGCATACCGCTTTCCACAAATGAGGACAGCCTTGGCTCATAAAATGACTCATTGTTTTTATCTAATTTCAGAGGAAACTGAGGAGGAGTTCTTTTGATCAGCGGGGGGCCAGTTGAAAGTGTGGACATTCTGTTCGCCAGTAAGCTTAAAGTCAACCAGCTGAAGAACCTGATCGCCAAATTAATACAAAGTGTCATAAAAGGCAGCTTATGGATTGTTTCTCAAAAATTTAGAGTCACTCCCACAGTTGAGTTTTGAAGATATTCTTTTAATCGGATAAAACAAATCAAAACTTAATAACACTTGCGGTTCAAAATGATAAATTACCAAACATTCATCTTATTATAATTACTCCCTCTGGATTGCCCTATTGGCGCGTGAAAGCTGCGAGGGGGCGGAGTTGGAAGCGCGCACTGGGAGAGCACAGGACGAACTGCCCTCCGGAGCTTTGTTGATATTGGCAGTTCAGACCTTTCGCAGTAGGTTATGGCAAAAGCTTTCAGAAAGACAAGAAGAAGAAGACGAGAGGACCACACGAATCACTTGAAAGAAACTATGCATTAATGTGCGTGGAGCGTTCAAGTGACATGTTTTTTACGCAGTGAATGTGCTGAGTAAGTGTATTTTCCTCACTTTTCTGTTTTTTTACACGCTTTATCTGTCATATACTTCTAAGGCTGGTTACCACTACAGGCACTACAGTAGTTTACACGTTTCCTGACTATCCTCTCTAATCTTGTTTTCCTTAGATATGGCTGTTATTCAGTCTCCAGTCTTTTGTTTTAAAGCCACTGACTTAACTGACATCATGGAAAAGTAACCTCAAATATAAAGTAACGGTGCTCTGCTGTCCTACTGTTATTTCCATATTTAGGCTCCAAATCAGGTTGAACCTGCCACAATGTCTCATGCACAAGTAGAGATACCAGGACGCGGGTTCCCGGGGCTCTCCGTGGATATGACCGACGACTGTTTGTCCCGAGTCCCATCCGTGCTGAGGACGCACGGGCTGGGCGCACGGAGGAACTCCTACGGCCTGCAGAAAATTAGTATGGACATTGATTCTCCCCTATACAGCGGTGTACTTTCCAAAGCCTTATCGTGGTCGGCAGAAAATATTCTCTCTCTGCCCGAGTCCAGAGCAGAGGAAGAAAAAACAGACGACACCCCGCCGTCCGCGTCTCCGGTTTCCAGCTCCAGCACGTGCCGCCAGGACCCCGACGCCGGGTCCGTCGGTGGCAACTGGAAACCTGTTGCCAGATCCACTCCTCAAGATCCCAGCTCGGACTCTGAAAACGAACTTCATAATAAACAGCAAAAGATTCTGTCTCGCATCACGTTTGACACTCAGTGGGAGCAGGAAGAAAAGGAGGACGTGGAGACTAAAGCGGTGGCAACATCTCCTGATGGAAGATATCTCAAATTCAACATAGAGATTGGAAGGGGGTCTTTCAAGACGGTCTATAAAGGGCTGGACACAGAGACTACAGTGGAGGTGGCATGGTGTGAGCTACAGGTAGGATGCACACTGGGTCTGTTCACAGCATATTCCCATCTATGTACAACTTCACACAAACGATGCATTGGTTTCCAGGACTTTTAAATCTACCTTTCCTAAAATGAACACTAGGCCAAGTGTGTAAGCTGATGCTTTTCTTGATTTCCTGGCCCACTTGCTGCTCTAATTCCTCCCTCAGGGCATCAGGGTTGATGTCAGGCAGCTAATCTACTGTATATTATTCCCCACTGACCTTGAGTTAGTTGTGTCAGGCACTTGCATGGTAAGGCAGGTCATCCTGTTAGCAGTCAGCTCCAAGCTGAGCTACAGTACTCTGCTTGTCATGAATCCCCTCTAATCTCTGTTTTCATTAACAACCAGTGACACTGGGGCTCTCTGAAGGCCTCACGTGACAGCTAAGAACATCTGAAAGGTAATAGATCAAGTTTTTAGGAACATACCATCAGTGGTTGTGTTAAAAAGTAAATGTGATGTGGGGCTTGTGAGATGAAGTTCTGCTTGGTGGTCTGGCCTTGCAGGGCATAATGCCCACGTGTATCATGTAAACATAAAGTAAGGCAGACGACTGAAGAGGCAGGCTTCAGTAAAACTGTAGAAGTGTCAGTACTTTTTATGCCATAGCATTTGGCGCACAGCCTTGAAACAGCCTGGCCAACAGCTGACACTTCTCTTGCTTACATGGTTTGATAGCACAGTTGTGGATTTAAAGATTAAAACTGTAAGTCCACTCTTAACATTTGCAGTTTTGTGTGTGTGTGTGTGTGTGTGTGTGTGTGACGTGGATGGGTGTAAGTAACTGGCAGCCACATGAGCTTTGAAGCTGTGTCCTCATAGCCTTTAAATGTCAAATTAAACCATGTGACAAGGATATTGCACTATATACATGCTGGCAATGTTTACTTTTGTTTTGATTCAAACACACTGGAAGTTTTTTTTTTTTTAAGATACATCTTCATTTAAAAGCACTCTTTACTGAATTAAAAAAAATGCACAGAGCTACTTTTTGTTGTGCAGTTATTTTCTACAGAAGCCATCGGAGTGCAGATAATAAGAGAATGTATGGGCATGAAGGGAATCTGCCCTTAAGGCTCAAGCTCTAGCACCTTCTGCCTCAGAGCCCACCTGTCTGTCAAGTCACACAACAGGTATCTGTTAACAGGAAGCAGATGGAGAGTCACACAGGCTCCTGCTTGGGGCACAGATGACCCATTACCTGCATCATGCAACACAGGCACTGATGTTTCACATGTTTGAGTCAAATAAACGCATTGGTCCATTGGGGTACTTTGTGGTCAGACATAACCCTGATTTTACCTTCTGTGGAGTGAAAAGTACAGCAATCTTTTTTTGTGGCTCTGTGTTGGAAACAAGCATGCTATTTCATCTCTTTACTTGAGACATGAGTCCAGTTAAGCTCCTTAATCACTCCTAATAAGCTTAAAGGTGACCACTGTTGATATGGTTACTGCTGTGATAATTTAACCTCAAAGAGACTGACTCAGATTCAGTTCCATTTCTTAAGTGAAATCACCACCCCGTCCACCTTTTGATGCTTAAGTGAAACTCAAAAGCTGAGTGTTGGTGGCTAAACAGAGATCGCTCCTGTAATGTTGATGGAGCAGCAGTGGAAGGTGCGTCACTGCAACTCAGGTAGAAATGCCTTAAGCTCTTTTAACTATGTATTACAGAGCCTGAGCTCTAATCTGCCGGATGTTCTAAGCTGTTCAGAATACAGAACAGGTTTTAAAGCACATCTAGTTATAGAGATCAGAACTTCAATTCATCATAATTGTCACTGTGACACAGAGAGGTGTTCTTTTGTGAATGGTTGGGCTGCATTGTTATGCTGAATGCATTGCAGTCTGGGCGGCGTCTACAGGGAGGCATTGTGCGATCACGTAAAAGGTAAAGAAAACATGCCGAACCCTCTGTGACATGAGACATTAAAGCCACTGAAAACTTTTGTGTGCTGTCTCTCTTCATAAACCAAATGAAGGCTTGTACTAATACAGAGAAAAGTAGTCCCTCACTAGAATCAAAGCTTCCTTAAGCTTACAAAACCCCTGAAAGATATAAACGCTGTGAAATCATACACATGTCTGAGGAAGATCACTAGTTTGAGTGTGTTGGAGCTTTTCTGCTGTTTTCTTATAGACTTCTTTTTGTATCCAGCGCCAACATTGTAAGTGAGGGCTTTTAATTTCACTCTTTATTATTTAAAACATGAATGATTTATTGACATTCACAACATTACCAGCCAGTTGAAGCACAGATAAGAAACTTTCATGCAGTTCATAAAGTGTTGTCTATTTACACTTTGTGTCCAGGAAGCAAAACATCCTGGTATTTTGTTGTTTAATAGTCACGCTTATACAATTTGTTTCTTTTATATGTTAATGCAAAACATTTCTGGATCATGTGTTATCAGATTTCTTTTTAAATTCTCAAATTTCATAATTAATGCTGGGTGAGCTTCAAAAATAAGGAACTGATCAGAATCAGTACTTGATTACTTGCTCTTATGTGATCTTTGCTATTTTGGGTTTAAGATCAAGTGCAAACAGTCAGATATTGCTCATCCATATCCTTTTGTTCTTCCTAATCACATGTTGTGCTGAGTACACACACCTTATCAATGCATTTAAAACCGGATGGACATGGCAAAAATATCACTAACTGATTATATAAGTCTGCTGGCAAGCTGATAAAGTAACACCCAGTGGGTGCTGCAGAACATTTTAAAACAAACTGTACCCAAACACTTGTGCCGATTGTTTGGTTATCTTTAGACGCTCAGTTGCATCTGCCACACTTCTCACATTTTTTTCTCTTCATCCAAATCGCCATTAAAGTCGCCCTCGTAGTTCTTGCATAAGCACTGCAAATTTTACAGAATCCTCCACATTTCTGTGGAGGATTCTGTAAAGTTCTTTCTTTTTTTTTCTTTTTTTTTTTAAAGAAAGAAGACTTAGTCTACATCACATCGCAGATGCCCATGAAGCAGGATAAAAAAAAACTAGTTCCACTTGTACTTTTGGTCATTTTGTGTATTTGTTAGTGTTGGTGTCACTGCACTGGTCATTCAGCCTCCAGACCTCTTAATGGCTGCATACATCTCTTACCTATGGATAAAACAAGAGTTTAAATGCTGCTTGATAATGTTGCTTTACAGGTGGCAGCTACCTAGCAACTGCTCACCCACAGGTAATTCAGGTGCCATATAGGTATTGACCGCTGAGCTTTTAAGTTAATACAGAGGAAATGAAAAATTGATGAGCTGTTGTGTGGCCCTCTGTTCCTCCCATTCATATACTGTTCTCACTGCACTGCATTGAGTCAAAAGGAAGAGTTGTTGTTACTGCGTCTAAAATGCTGATCGTTGCATGGATTAATGAGCTTGGAGGTTCAGCACCTCACAAGTGACTGCAACAGCACACCGAGCTACTTAGTAACTGATAGGAATGAGTTCACTGAGGCACATATCCTTTTTGGTGATCCTTTGTAAAGGGCATATGTTGCACAATACCTGATCTTATTCAAGGGCAGCACTTTCCAGCAGTTCTCTCCAACCTTGCCCCCTCAGCGTCTCAGGCACTTTTATACGCTTGGTTCATTTTTAAACATAAACCAACACAGTTTCTGTTATCGTGCAGTGTTTTTATGAGGGCTGTTATTAATGGAAGGCTGGCCTTAGCACCCACAACCAATTAATACCAGGTCCTCAGATGCATAAATACGGGCTGAAAGACCGTTTTCTGCTGATTAAGAGAAACCAGATCTTTAAAGTTGGTGCACCCTGGAGGTTTTATTGATGGTCACAAACTGTTTAAGAGGATTTTTTTTCCTCAGCTAATGCTTCTTCTAAAACAAATAAAACTTAATGCTGTTGAAGCATGTAGATTGGGCTGTTATTAACCATTTCTTTAGTGGTTTTTACCCATTATAAACTGGTAGTTTTCATACAGAAAACTACAGAATGCTCACACAGGCTAGCTTGTCCAGTATTTTTCCAGATATAAACAATGAATTCATTAAAACATGCACAACTAATGAATTGATATTGAAAATAACTGCCTGTTGTTTCAGTGCTTTATTCCTTTTGCCGCTAGTAAACATAGTTCCTGTGTCTAGGTGCAAAAAAAAGGAGGGTAGATTGTACATCAGCCGAGTTGTAGTAAGACCTGGAAACATTACTGAAGCAGTGAAACTGGGCTCTTGATGTAGTGTTTACGTTTTAGCTCAGAGTTTTAATACTCATATCGAAGTAGCAGATTAAATTAAAGCTGTAAAACCTTATTAATGTCTTGCTACTGTGTCCGTATAGTTATGAGGCTAAACAAAAAGGCATAAATCTAGTTTGGCACGCCCCAAGATTTCTGTTGCCCCCCCTCTCTCACTCATGCTAGCCTGGGTTTCATAGTATAAGCCTGGCTGTGTAACTTTTATCTGAATGTGGCTAGTGTTCACTGACAAGCCATGGGCTTCCTATCAGCTCTACTGTAGCCAACATCAACATGGTCTTTCCTTGTAAGGCCCAAAGTGCACCCAAAATCAGCTTATCAGGGCGAGCCAATGTTCTGTGAGTAGAAAGTTAAGAAGGCGCACAGTGATAGCCTACATGTACACATGGCATAACGTCATTTTGATGTGGGGCCCGCTGTTTGTTGTTTTGTTTTTTTTCCTTTACTGAGCACGTTGGTCACCTGTGAAATTTGTACTGTACTGAATGTGCACGTCTTGGTGATTGCTCTGCAAGATACAGCTTGTCTGTATCATTCAGCATACTGACAGCACTGTGCCTAGATAGCAGTGTCTCATTGGCTGCTGTTGATAACAGGTTAGTGAGGGTGGATACTGTAGCTGCAAGCAGAGGCAGCATGAGGCTCTTTGTTTAGGGGCTTTGAGCCCAGGGCCATTGGGTGTGTTTGTGTGTTTACACTGGAAACCATAGTTCTTGTGTAGGTATAAAGGTGAGCGTGTGTGGTTTTGTTTTTTTT